GGGGGGGGCGCAGGGGTTGAGTAGAACAGGTCCAGGTTTCCATAAAGGAAGAAGTGCCTGATCAATAAAGCAAAGTCTGCTGTGTTTAGTTAGCCTTTGGTAGGAATTACCTGAATTTGTACTTTGTGCCACTTGGCCAAATGATCTGTTAGACCACCAGATAAAAAGGACATACAGCCCTCCACATGTATTTTGTCTAGTTGTTGATACCATCTACAAGTTCAAAACCAACAGGAAAAGGGGAGAACAAGTGAGTAAATCCTCAGGGTTGGGAAACTGTCATCTTTAGTCATTAGGTAACAACTTAGCAGAGAATTGAGTCTAAAATTTTTCTTTTGGTGCCTACATTATTATTTTAGACCTCTATCATTTCTGTGGGAACACCATGGGCCTCATTTCTGCATTTAAAAATAAATTGTCTGGAGTTTTTTCTCATTTCAAAGAGAAAAGGATCCTCTGGTGTGCAACAGAAATTTTCTGTCGCATGCCTCAACTTGAATTTGCTTATTTTGATCATCTCATGCAGAATACAAGTCAGCTAACCTTACATGTTTATATCTATGCCTACATTTGTTATCTAGTCACCTATTTTTGAAGTGTACTTCAGAATGAGATTTACAGCCCAAAAATACTTATTTCATCAACTCTTAAGGAAGTGGAAGGTGATGACATCAGTTTTAGATGCCTGTATTTTAATATAAACTAAACCATGATAAATTCAGTCACATTTTTGCCATTATTTCCCTTTATTTTGCCATCACCAAAAAAGGAAGGTGTAGGTTTACAATTAAGCATTGCCTTTGGATGCCCTAAATGTGGCTCCAGCTACTTCAGTGTCTTGTGATCAGAGCTTTAAGACCTGCCAGCACCTAGTTCAAAACACTGCTCTGATTGCCCTTCACATCAGCTGTACGCAGTGTATCAGCTACTTACTGCATTAATTCGTTGGGTCCCATCTACACCGCTGAACAGGTTTGCCTGCCTCTGTGTTGACAGCCCCCTTTCAATTGCTGCTGTCTCAACATGAGAATGTCATTAGTGACAACAAGCACCATTCAACCACATGCAGAAGCAACCACAATTACCCGAGTGACAGCAAAGCATGCAACTTACCAGAATTGAGCAGGATGATGGACTTAAGGCACACAAATTCCTCCCCTTGAAGGTTCATCATGCGAAACCTAGCAGCAGTAGCCAGCAGCATGTCAAAGATTTCCACCATGCCCTCTACACATTTCCCTTGATTCCTGTGTGAATACCATCAAAGGGGAGATATTCACATCTTTAGCCTGGTGGCAGCACGAGCTTCTCGTTCCCCTGGATCATTCCGCTCCAATCTGATTTCATCAGTTCACTAGCTAGCACGTGACTTCCCACTCTGTGTTCGTTTGGTGTATGTGTGATCACAAAAGCATAGTTCTCAGTATCCCACATGAAATGAATAAATAATTAAATACTATATTCCCCCCCCAAAAATGTCAATTTCATAAACTCATCACCAAAGCATTACTGTAGTGGCACATATGAGATTGACTCAACCAAACATTTACATTGAATTAATAAGGATTGTAATTATTTTTTTATGAAAATTTAGTCTGCAGATTTTCTGGTCATGGAATTTTAGATCACTCAACCCAAGCTATTCTATGATTCTATGATTTACATTGCGACCTTTTACCAAAAATTACCTACTTTTACTTTTATTAGGATTTTCTGAGTGAAATTTTAACATATAAGACTTAATGAGTGATCAGATCTGCTGTTTAAAAATACACTATTTTTAGATACAGCTTTTAAGAACAAAATTTTGAATACCATTGCTATAGGAAGATGCAAAAGAAATTTCAAATTATCACATGGCTATTCCACTATAATTTGTAATGTGAACACAGGTTGAGCGTCTCCTAATCTCATTGTGACAAAAACAATGCTGACTACCAGCATAGACGCACCTGCCTCGGTCCTTATACAGTCATGCTGTTGAGACCCTGTAGCTAATGTCTAAACCCACACCAGACCCTCAGACAAAGCAGTCATCTTCCTTTGACTACAGCCTGAGAAAATTCTTTGCACTTAATCATGCCTAAACCTAAAACTGAGTCAAAGAAGGAGAGGGTGTATCTGTGAGCACTTGTGCACCAATCTCCTTTCAAGTTCAAATCCCTATTCAGCTTAATTTGGTGCTTGAACTTAAATTTACATCTCCCTTACGCCAGAGCATTGCCTACGAGCCAGTGACTATGGCATATGACAGAAGCTATTTTATCTGCTTTCAGAGATATTTAAACAAAGCAGGACAATATCAAGAAAACAAAGTGAGAGATAGTCCCTTAAAACAGCCAGTAGGGTGTTGGTTAAAATACAGTAATATTTGAAAATCTGGGGTCCCAAGCAAGTCTTCCAATCACTGTTACAACAGCACAAGTTCTCTGACTTTTCTGTGAGAAAGAGATGATCCAGCCTTGGGAACGGAAATAGTAGAAAGGTACGTTTAATAAGGAGGATGAACCCATCCTGAGGCTCCTTCTCACCTCAGGTCCCTGTGGGCTACCAGGCAATTGCACGCTAAACACCCTGAGAAATGCCTAAATCTCCCCACGCATTTCACCAGCACTTAGCTCAGAACTAGATTTCCATTGCATGGCAGGCACCCAGCCACAAGCTGCAACATTTGGCAACGCAACTTCTATGGCCTTTTCTCATTCTTAAAAATTTTGCTGAAGAGACGGTGGTTTAAACTATAGCAGCTTTTCGGGTATGACCAGAGACACTGATAATTTCACATACTAGGTTCCCACAGATGATGGTAACAAGTGCAGTGTAAAAGGCCGTGGACAAAAGTATAATTCTTAAGATTGGCAGGCTCAATGCTATGTTCCATGTAAAGTGTGTGGTGTCTTTTGCGCCCCCATTTACAATGCCCTGACCGATGAGCTGAACTAAAGGACTGATCGCAGCCTGGTATATCCGAACATGGCTTTACTGAAATTCACAGCTCTGCCTCGTTTGCCTGAAGGCTGCATCTGAACTCAGACAAGGAATTTTCAATGATTTGATGACCAATCAGTTATACTGTTCAGTGCTGGATGTGGAGAGCTCTTCAGCAACGACCATCTTGCTGCCCTGACGAATCCTGCTTAGGCAGAATAAAGCTGAAAAACTGAACTGGTTGGATTCAAGTATATTCCTCCTCTGTTTGGACATCAATAAAATAAACAAAGGCAAAGTAGTATTTAATAGCACCACTGTCAAATAAAAAACAAATAAAAATCAGGCACTCCAAACAAGGCATGAGAATATGAACAATTACTATTACCTGAAAATCTGTTTTGTGTGCTAAAATTTAAATCCTATGGAAGTAAAATAAGCATGACTTTTTACAGTGGGGCAAGTTCCACTGCTTCTCATACAATATTTTTGCCTGTAAGTAGAGAAAGATTAACTTTGCATACATGGAGTTAAGCACAGTTTCAGAGGACTAAAAGCCTTTGATAGTTTTTCATTAACTTAAATAATGCCCCAATAAAGGTTAGTTTAAGAATTTAGAATTTCAGGATTATGCAGAAAGGAAAAGTTTCAGTGGATCATATGGAAAATGACCCATATTAAAAAACCCTCCACATCTTCATGTCTGGCTAAGACATTTACTTGCTCCCTAAAACCCATCAAACTACTCCCAGCCAGTATTCAAAACAATCCAAAACATTACAGTCTGAACAAATTGCAAAATTTTCATATCCAAGACCACAATTCAAAGAGAAATAGTAAGTTATTTGTAAAATGAGACCTTTTAAAATGCCGTATGGCAACTCATAAGATGGAAAAGACATTTTGATAGCAAGTAAGAATTATTCCCAGGTACTTTTTACAAAAATAGTTTGATGGACTGTAGTTTAAAAGACCAATATTCCAATCAAGATCCTCTTGCTGACAAGTAAAACCTCTGGACAAAAGTGTCTAGTCCTGCAACACATAGTCCATGTGCCTAAATCTCTATGTGTGTCTATTTCCCAGTGACTGAACTCATATGGTAGATGATAAATAAAAATTACGTAAATTTAAGAGATTCTAAATACTTTCTAATCTCTTTTGCTTTGCTAACTGCTGTGTGTGAAATACCAGGCTACTCCATAAGAAAAAGAAGAGTAACTATTTAAGTACTTTAGATGAAGTTAGACACCTAGCTTTAGGTATTCATGTGTGCAAGCAACAATTTAGACATTTCTGCTTTATTTTCAGAGTTAGGCAGCAGATCCAGTTCCACAGAAATCAGTGGGAACTGCAGGAGCTTAGTATCTTCGAAATGCAGGCTTCTAATCAAATGTTTTTATTGTCTAGGCTACAACACTGGTTTTCTTTGTTAACCAGCAAAACCTATCTGAAATAGGAATCTCCAGTTTTCCTGAACTGCCTTCTAACTTTCTAACATATGCTGATAGTATTATCACATCTTCACAGGTATACGTCCAGTTGATAGGAAGGCCTATCTAGGAAGGCCTAGATAACTTTCCTGGAGGACAAATTAAGCAATAGATTTGAAAATTATCCTTATCCTACCATCATGCTGTTGTCTTTGTGTGCTCTCAGCTTACTGAAAACAAAACAATAAAAGCCTGTTTACTGCAAAGTGTCAGAGTGTATTCTCAGAAGAATCCTTAACAATTGGCTACTGGGAAATGTTTAGGAAAGTTAAAGCATGTGAATTAAAGGTCTTAAGTTACTGCATAAAAGTACTATGTGCATTAACTTTAGTAAGTCTACAGAATCACAGGATTATCCAGGGTGGAAGGCAACTCAGGATGTCTTTAGTCCAAGCTCCCACTCAAAGCAGGGTCAGCTCACTCAAGGCTTTACGCAAGTCTGGTATTGAAAACCTCCAAGGATGGAGACTGCACAACCTCTCTCAGCTTAATTATTTTCATCATCTTGATTTTTTTCTCCCCTATATTCTGTCAGAACCTCCTCTGCTTCAGTTTATGACTCCTGTTTCCCAGTCTTCCATTGGGCATTTTCATAAAGAGCCTTGATAACCTTCTTGTAGATTTTAGGCTAGGCATGCTCAAAAGCCATCTCTTCTCCAGGCTGAGGAAATCCACTTCTCTCAGCCACAAGGCATGTGCTCCCACCTTGACGGTTCCCCACTAGGTTTACTGAAGTTTATTGACATCTTTCCTGCAATGAGGGGTGTAAAGCTGGATGTGGTATTCCAGATATGGTCTACTGAGTGCCAAATAAAAGCAGAATAATAACTTCCCTTGCTCTACTGCCTACACTACCACTGATACAGCCCCAGACACTGTTGGCCTTCACTGCTGCCATGTTGCAGACTGGCTCATGCACAGATTGCTGTTCACCAGCCCCCCAGGTCCTTTCCAGCAGAGCTGTTCCCCAGCTAGTTAGGCCCCAGCTTGAACAGTAGCAGTGGATTAAGTCCATCACAGGTGCAGGATTTTGCATTTGTCCTGGCTGAATTTCATGAGGTTCCTGTCAGCCCATTCGTCCAGCCTGTCTAGGTCTACCTGTATGGCAGCTCTGCCCTTGGCCATATCGCCCGCACCCCCTACTTTGGTGTCATCTGCAGATTTGAAGACAGCGCACTCTATCTCCTCCTCCAGGTCATTGACAAAGACATTTAATAGGACACATCCTAGGATAGACCCCTGAGGAACTCACACTGTAACTAGTATCAAGGTAGAGTGTGAACCGTTAATAAGAGATCTAGTCAATTTTATCACAGAAGGCAATCAGGTTGGTCAAGCACAATATACCCTATATCTATACTAATTCACACTCACCATCTTCTCCTTCCTGTTCACATAAACAACTTCCAAGAGAACTTGCTCTATGATTTTCCTCGTGATAGAAGTGATGCTGACTGGCCAACCTGTAGTTTCCAGAATGTCTTTCTTTCTTCTTTTGGAGATGGGTGCAACATATGCCTTTCTCCAGTAATTGAGGACCTCTCCTGGTCTCCACAGCCTTTCAAAGATGATAGAGAACAGTCTCACAATGACATCATCCAACACTCTTGGATGCAGCCCATCCCATGGACTTGTATGTGACAAGACTTCTTAAGAGATTCATGACTCAGTCCTCTTTTACTAACTCATTCCTCTCCTCCTTGAACCCTGTACGTAGGAATAAGAACCTAGATTTTATTTAAGTCTTGGAAAACCATAGATATCAGGAATGTCTTTTACAGAAACACAGGATCAAGACACAGACAAGTAAATATTAACAGAGAAGG